CCCCCCCCCCCCCCCCCCCCGTGAACCCTATATGTGTGTGTTTGTGGTTTTGATATATTTTGTTGGGAAAGGTTCTCAGAAGTAGAATCCTTTGGGAAAGGGATAGGAATGAATTTAAGTCTCTTGATGCATATCACTGGGGTCCTTTCCAGGGGATTGTATCCATTTACCTTCAGTGATGGGAGACATACTTTTCAACTATCCACTTATTTGTACTTTTGTCCCTGAGTAAAGTTTGAGAGGCTTAGTTGAAGTCTGTCTGTGGCTCATAATGGGGTTCTGTCCTCCCACCCTATTACTGTTGGTGGACAGGTCTCTTGCTTCACACTGGAAGCATCTTTGCTTTTGCTTTTAGATCCCTACTTTGATTGACCGGATGCTTGTGTCATCTAACACGAAGACTGGGGCTGCAGGAGCTGAGGCCTTGTCCCTCCTGTTGAAAAGGCCCTGGGATCCTGCTGTGGGGGTGCTTTCTCATAACAAACCAGTAAGTTAGAGCAGCTCAAAACTTAACTTTGGCCCATGAAGTTTTTAGAATCCAGTCTCAGAATCTTAGCAAGAGGGTAATAAATGACTTGTTTAACTTTTCCCATTAATAACTGGTTGTGTATACTGCTTAGCATAGTTTCATAAGGAAATTAGCATTGGTTGGGATAAGAAAGGTATTGGGATACTTGGGATTTTGTGGAGCAGCACCTCTTCCTCACTGGTTCTCTGTTGGGGTTCTTTCTTCTTAGAGCAAACTCCCTGGCTCTCCTCTCATTCTCATTGCGTCCTCTGGGCCTTCTAGCTCCGTGTTCCCCACCTCACGCCGCCACCGCTTCTGGCAATCTCAGCTATCCTGCTTAGGCAAGGTATGTGTGGGAACAAGCGGAACTGTCTCCTGGGTGGACATAGAGGCTTGGAGGACTAAGCAGACAGAATGCAGGAGGGGATCAAAATGGATGGACTTAAATGTTGAGCATCCCCTCCACTCTCTTTTGGTTTTTAATTTGAATGGTGCTTATCCAAGGTTGAAAAGATTTAGGGTAGGTTAGGCAGAATTGAGAGAAGATTTGAAACTAACTTCTGCTGGTATGGCTGCCACTTTCTTTCCTTTAGGTCATCCCCGTAGCCACCCATCTGCTGAACAATGGTAGTGGAGTAGGAGTTCTGCAGTGTCTTGAGCATATGATTGGGGCAGTGAGAAGCAAAGTGCTGGAGGTGAGAATGCCCTCAGTTCACTGGGGCACACCCAGCGTTCTGGGGTTGTTCTGCACCCAGCTATAGCCTCCTGTCTTACTGTCTGCTTTCTCTTCCCGCAAAGATTCACAGCCATTTCCCCCACAAACCCATTATCTTGATTGGCTGGAATACAGGAGCATTGGTGGCCTGTCACGTAAGTAATTCCCATCTCATTTGGAGGTTGTCCTATGATAGATACTAGTACTGCTGATTGCTACCACTGAGTTCTTTTTTATGTTCCAGGCACTGTGCTAGATGATCTGCCTACATAAATGCATTTTAAAGTGTAGAAGATGATTTTTTAACTTTATTGTGAAAATTTTAAGCAGAAACTTAAAAGGAGAATAGTCCTATAATAAACCCTGTGAGCCCCTCACCCAGCATTACCAGTGATTAACTTATGATCAGGCTCCTTTCATCTTACTCCTGCCCACTTTCTCTTTCCTCCGATTATTTTGAAGAAAATCCCAAATGTCATTTCATTTATATATATTTCAGCATGTATTTCTGAAAAAAATATTCTTCCCCCACCCCCAAATGTAAATACTATTCTCTCACCTAAAAAAAAAAACAAAAAAAACCCACCAAAAAAATGATAATTGTAACAGGCATAAATTTTAATAGCTTTGGAATTTGATGTTGTGTTCATATTCTATGCCTTTCTAAGACATCAGGGAACCTTTTCTTTATTATTTTATGTACATTAGCTTGTGTAAGTGTCCCTGACCTGTCCAAAGCCCCAGTTTTCAAGTGGATCAAATAAGCGAAGTCTGTGCTGCTTCATGTCGTCTGGTTAAGTATGACATCCAGGGCCACCAGAAAAAGAGGGCTATCTCCCTAAACTCCCTGGTCCTGGGAATGGCAGAATTTAGTCAGCGACTGCAAGTGCCTGGGAGCTAACTATTAAATTCAAAAAGGAGAGATTTTCTTCATGTAAGGAAGAAGAGCAATATTTGTGTTCTCCTGATTGCATTTGCTATTAGTGGAGGAAAAAGTGAATAAGACATTAGTATAGAGAATTGGTAGGATTGGAAGCACTGAACTTCCCATCCTGTGGTTCAGCCCTCTACTGGGATCCTCTCAGGGCTTCAGTTCTCCAGGTGGTACAGTGTATCTTGTGCCCTGTGCTCTTACTGCTGCCACTATGGCTGGTACCCTTGAGGATTAGGACTGGTGGGGAGGAGATGGGAATAGCTGGTAGGTCTGGACCACCTCCGGACTCTGGGTGGTAGCTCTGGATGTAGCTACAGTGAAGTTGACCTTGAGACAAACTTTTGTATTATTTCCAGGTGTCAGTGATGGAGTACGTCACTGCAGTTGTCTGCCTTGGGTTTCCTTTACTTACTGTGGATGGTCCCAGAGGGGTAAGCATGGGGTGTAGCTGATTGCTGGGTCATTGGCTGGTAAGGGTAAGGGGGTGCATACCTCGCCCAAACTGGTTAGTGACTGTAGTTGCCAGGCTGACTCCCCTCAGTGGACTTGCCAGGTCAGTGCACAGTGAATATTAATTGGCTGATAGTAAAATTTATACATGTTTTAGGATGTGGATGATCCCCTCTTGGATATGAAGACTCCAGTCCTCTTTGTCATTGGGCAGAATTCCTTGCAGTGTCATCCTGAAGCCATGGAGGATTTCCGGGAGAAGATTCGAGCTGAGAACAGCTTGGTGGTAGTTGGGGGAGCTGACGATAATCTCAGGTGCGTAGGTTCTCCCAGAGCTGTGAGAGAGCCATGTTACAGTGTTGGAGAGATGCCTGTGAAGTGATGATGTAACTATAGACTAAATCTGCTTCCGTGAAAATGGGAACTGTTTTACATGAACTAATTCAGATTTATAAAGAGTTGCAAAAATAGTACAAAAAATTCTTACATACCCTTAACTCAGATTTCCACATGTTGATGTCTTACATACCCAAAGTATAATTATGAAAATGAGAAAATTAACATTGTATGACACTATAATCTGTAGGTGCTGATATTGTCCATTGTTTCACTGGTGTCCTTTTTCTGTGCGGTATCCACTCCAGGATCACATGTTGTTTTTAGTTGCCTTGTTTCCTCAGTCTCCATGAATTTGATACTGTTCCTTAGTCTTTCATGACCTTGACATCTTAAAGACTTGTGGCCAGTTACTTTGTAGGCTGCCCCTCAATGTAGGTTTTTAACATTTTTGTGATTAGGTAGAGCATATGCATTTTTGGTAGGAATGCGAGAGGTGATAAGCCCTCAGCACATCTTCTCTGGGGATACATGAAGTTGATGTGTCTTATCATAGATGGTGTTAACCTTGATTGTGTGGTTAAGGTGGCATATTCCAGGTTTCTCCACTGTAAAGTTACTATATTTCCCTTTGTGATTAGTAGTTACCCTATGGGAAGGAGATACTTTGAGACCTTGTGAAGGCAGTCTTGGTCACTGTGCTTTCACTGGGGTAGGCATTTTTTATATTTTCTTTCCTTACTAAGGATGTATGTGAACTTAGATTTTATTTGTATTAAGCATCATTTTATGTATTTTGGAGTAAAAACAGCCAGAGTTTGGAAGGGGCACCTTTGGTCATTGAGATGGCCACTGGTCCCTTATAAGACTGGCTGCCTGTAGGGACTTTAATTGTGTTTTCATGAAATGTACTGAAAAAGAGATTGTGTCATTTATTGGGCTTCCTTTTTTTATATGCTCAATTTTAGAGATTTAATTTCTTAAAAACTTTCTTTAATGTTTATAATTTTGAGAGAGAGGGACAACATGAGTTGGGGGATGGGCAGAGAGAGAGGGAGACACAGAATACAAAATAGGCTCTAGGCTCTGAGCTGTTAGCATAGAGGCCAGCATAGGGCTCGAACTCACCACGAGATCATGACCTGAGCCAAAGTCAGATGCTTAACTGACTGAGCTACCCAGGCGCCCCGAGATTAATTTCATTTGTGTTTTTTAGCTAGTAGCTTAAAGCAAGTATCTGCCCCCATCTGTCTTGTCAGTTTCTTACCCAGAGATGTTTTGGAGAAGTCCTGGTCTTTGTCATTTGGCAGCTTCTTTTGGGCCTAGAAGCAAATGCTTTGGTTCTCAAGGTAGTGTTTTCATGTAAATTGATTGTCTTTGTTGGTCATTCAGATGTTCTTATCTGTAGAAAGGTATATTGTGTGTGTTGAGTGGCAGGGAGGGAACATGAGAGGTGGGGATACCTTCATGGAGTTGTGTCGGGAGGCTGCTTATGAGACATATTTGCATGATGCCATGAGCATCAGCCTGAGGATTGGGAGACCTTAATTTAGTTTTGGCTGCTTTGCTAAGAAGCTTGGGTAAACTGCTTAACTTTTGGGACTCAGCGATCCTTATCTGTAAGATGAGGGTGCTACCCTAGGTTAGAGGCCAACAGCCAGTAAATTAGGGTCTCAGAATTTGGAGACTCAGAATGTTGTTCTCTACCCTGTCATTGGGGGCTCTGTTTTTCTCTTTGCTGAGGCCCCCAGTCAGAAGCCAGGGGTTTTCAGGCTAGCTTTCAAAGAGGAGAATGCAGCCATCTGTGGCCATTTTCTCTTATCCCTTTAGAACTAACCTGGGACCACCTTTCCTCTTCTACTAATCTCATTTCAACAGCAACCAGTGATCTCAGGGTTTGGGCCTCCATTGGGAGACTTCTAGATAAAGTCTTAGAAGTCAGATAGAGTTTATCTGTGAAGCCAAAGGTATAGGACTTCTGGAGTATACAGTCCTAGGCAATTTCCATATGTTATTTGTTTTTTTATATGTGTTATTTTTGTAATCCTCACTATTCCATGAGTGAGGTGTTATGATTCCCCGTTTTGCAGACATGGAAACAGGTTCAGAGAGGTTGTGATAACTGCGTGAGGGCTAACGTAGTCCTCCTTCCTGAGCCTAGAAAATAACCAACACAGAAGAGAAACCCATTCTCGCTTCCATGTGATGCCATTTTCTCCTCTCTGTCTCTGTCTCTTAGAATAAGCAAAACCAAGAAGAAATCAGAGGGACTGACTCAGAGCATGGTGGACAGATGCATTCAGGTACACAGTTGCTTTATGTGTTTTTCTCAGCTAGGCTTGCCTTTCTATAACCTTTAGGCTTGATCTTGTTGGCAGCAGCCTCTTTGGCTCTGAAGGAGTATCCACTGGGGCCTCTGGTAGAACTAAATCATAAACAAAGGAAAGGGGAAATGAGAGCGACAGTCTAAGATGCATACAGAGCATCAGGGGAGAAAGAGTTTATTGGAGGAGTGAGGGAGCACAACCATCCCAGAACACCACCCCACAGAGGCCTTGGGGCATAGGCTCCTGCTGGTCTTTGACTGAGGCTTGGATTTGTGCCTGGCTCTGTGTGCCTGGAGAAGGACTGAAGGCACACCTGACGCCAAAGGCAGGGTTGATTGAATTGAGTTAACCCTGTCAGGGAGGTTCCTATTCCCTAGACTGAAGGACTCAGCAGCCTGGGCCCCTCTTCATACTAGGATGAGATCGTGGACTTTCTGACTGGAGTGCTCACTCGCACTGAAGGGCACATGGGCTCCGAGCCTCGGGATCAGGATGCTGAGAAGAAGAAGAAGCCTCGGGATGCAGCCCGCAGAGATCTGGCCTTTGAGGTCCCTGAGCGGGGCAGTCGGCCTGCCTCACCAGCTGCCAAGCTTCCTGCCTCACCCTCAGGCTCAGAGGTAATGTAGGCAGGGAGGGAGTGCTTTTGCTGGGGAAGGAAGACTGTGGATTTGGTTCCTAGGGATGGTTGTCTACTTTGCCAGTGCTGTAGGCCTTAGAGTTGCTATGAGAATAATTCCTGACCAGGGAATTCCAGGGGACTTGATAATTAATGGTTAAATCCAAACAGCATTGGCTCAGCTCTTACTCTTCTCACCCTACTCAGGATCTTTCCAGTGTGTCCAGCAGCCCCACTTCCAGTCCCAAGACCAAAGTGACCACAGTGACCTCTGCCCAGAAGTCCAGTCAAATCGGGAGCTCTCAGCTCCTGAAGAGACATGTGCAGCGGACAGAAGCTGTGCTGACCCACAAACAAGCCCAAGGTATTGGCTCCTCCTGGCCCAGTGGCCTCTCAGGTTATCTTCTGCAGTGACATCATATGGCATTTGGAAAGTATTGACATCTGTAACTTCTGGGGCATGTGAGAGGCACCGTTTCCCACATTTCTGTTCAAACAAAATTAGGTTGAAATGAATACTGAGGATTGTTTTCAAGAGTAAGACATCACAAAAGGTCTGTGCATTAGTGGGGTTGTATAGTTCCACTAATTATAGCTTTGCATTGGTGTTCTGGGGAGTTAGGCTTTATGAGCTTACTCCATGTGTATTTGCCTAAAAATTTTTTCTGACTCCCAGTTGGGGAAGCTACTTCTTCTGTTTTAGGCCCTGCCCAGCCACTCCTGCAGTCAGGACACTCTTCAGATCATGTGGACAGGGTGATTAGCTTTATTCATCAGATTCCAGGGCAACTCAACTGGCATCATGCCCTTTCTTTGTTTCTACCTTGAAGGTTCAGCCTCCCATATTGAGACTTTCAGTGAAGTTTATCAGTCTCTCTGCAGATAGGTTTTAGAGTAGACTGGGAAATGTTTGTATGGTTGAGATCAGAGTTTGGAGAACAATGAGTGCTACTAAAGCTACAGAAAAGGGAGAGTTTTGCGGGTAGGTGGAAAAGAAACAGTGGCTCTCCCCATGCCCCCATTTTGATCCTGTTGGGCAGCCCTGAGGTAAGGCCCCTTGGTCATTGTGTGTGTATGTATCCAGGAGCATGTATCATCTGAGGTCTCACGTGCCTGGAAAGTGGCAGCACCAGAGCTGGCTGTCCAGTAGAGAGATGTAGAGATGACAGCAGGCTGATCTGCTCACTTCCCCTGTGTTTCTTTTTAGTAGAGCCAAAGGACTTAAACCCAGGCATCTTAAGAAGGTGCCCTTAAGAGTGGTGCTAACAAGGAGCACAAGTGTGTGAGGGGATCTGTGAAGGCAAAAAAAAAAAAAAAAAGGAAAAAAGGCCAAGCTTCTAGTGTGCACGTAGATGGTCTGTGACCTGGATCTTCTTAAGTGGTGGCCAGAGCCAAGTTCTGGGTGGGTGGTGTTTCCATAGGCTTTTGATGAAGAGAGAACCAGTGGTTGGCTCTGCTTATGGAGGAGATAATTAGTTGAGAATCTAAGGAGTTCTTGAAGGGTGATTGGTGACCTGGGTTCGAAACAGGACCCAGAATATGGTGCAGAGCAGCAGCCCTAGCGCCCTGACTTTGACAGAGCTCAGAGGCAAGAGGGAATGATTATAGCTAACTTTTATGGAGCCCTGACTATGTGCCATGCTGTCTTCTTGGCACTTGACTTGCTATTGCTCGTTGAATCGTGGCAATGGCAAATGAAGCAGGTACATTTATTATTTTCAGTTATAGGTGATTCCATGGAATCACCATGGGAGTTAGGTTTCGAACCCATGCAGTAACTCTGGAAGGGGCCCATGATGACCATTTTCTAGAACATTTTCATATCTTTTTCTTACTCCCTCTCCTTTTCTCTTTTCTCTGGCTGGCTGTGATTCTGTAATTCTTTCTGATTCATTCCAGCACAGTTTGCTGCTTTTCTGAAACAAAATATGCTGGTGAGGAAAGCTCTTCCTCCCGGCACCTCCTCCTGTCTTTTTGGTGAGTATTGCTTTTCCTTTCACCTTTTCACGCTCTGTTCTCTGCTTCTGTCCACTTTTCCCTCAGTTCCTTCCCCATTCTGTTTCTCATTTGTCTCTGGTTTCCTACTTTTCTTTTTCTGCCTTTTTGTCTTCAGTTCTTTTCTTGGCTGACTTCTTTTGCTTAGTCCATAGTCTGCTTTTTCTCTGTACTTTCTGTTGGCCTCTCATGATTTTTCTTTCTTTTGTCTCTTGTGGTTCTTGGCTGTGCTTCTCCTATGTGTGCCTGTGAACCTGAGTTTCCTTGTGTGTTTTTCTCCCTGTCTCTGGTTTCCTGCTTCCATCCTGGCTGCTACAAGCACATCAGCCACTTATAATAAGCATAAAACCTGTAGCTCTTCTCCCTTTTACTCTCCTTCCTATTCTGATTTTAGTCACTGCATTTGTCCCCTAACTGGTCCTGCCAGCTGGTATTGCCCTGTGGTCCGGCGTAGCTCTCTGTGGCCCAGGCCAGGAGCCCCATCCCTGCCCGCCATCCTCATATACTACTGCTTTCCTCCCCACCCTTCCCCTGATTACCTATGCTAAGAAGAGGGACTGGAGTGGGTTTCTGGTTTTAAAAAGAAGGGGATCTCTGAGGTGCCTGGGTGGCTCAGTTGGTTAAGTGTGTGCCTCTTGATCTCAGCTCAGGTCTTGATCTCAGGGTCATGAGTTTAAGCCCTACATTGGGCTCCACTCTGGGTGGGAAGCCTACTTAAAAATAAATTTAAAAAAAAGAAGGGGATCTCTGAGGATACCTGAAGGATAACTTCAGAGTCCAGGAGGCTTGGCCATGTGCAGGATGAGTCTGTTTGATTCAGTGGAGGGGGAAGCTCATGTGCAAACAGTTGGCCTTTCTCTGTACTAGTGCAAATGACCTGGGGACTAGTTGTGACATGGACCACCATTGCCCTGTTACTTTTGGGCAGGAGCTATAAAGTTGTCTTGGCTGAGATGCTCCCTTGCCTAGTAGCCACTCAAAGCCACCCTTAATTCCTGGCAATAATCCTTCTTGTTGCCTTCATTTGGCAAGCAAATCTTCAACGTTGGGTGCTTAGGACAGAGTAGGACTCCGAGAGCCTTGTGAAAGTCTCTTTTTTTGAGAGGACTGGGTAGTGTGCTTCTCTGCTGCTGCTTTGTGGAATGTTTACTGTCCCCCAGCTGTATGATGTGAGGTTGGGCTTGAAAGAGGAAAATTATCACATTGTTTGAGTCCAGGAAGCACTGCTTATATCCACTATAGTGAGTCCTCTCTTTTTTGGTTGGCCTTCGCTAGGCAAGATCAGGGTGTCTTCTCGTTTCCTTTTTGTTTCTACCAACTCAGAGTTCCCTTCCTCCCTCAGAGCCTACTCCAGAACAGGGTAAGGGTTGGGCATGGAACCATTCCCTGAGAGGACAAGATGGTGTCTACCACAGATGGGACCTGAGTGAGGTGGGACTGAATCATTGGCAATTGCCTTTGAAGTGTGACTTTGTATGTGACACACAGTCATGCCCTTGCTGCTACTGTCTGTCATTGTCTCTCGGGCTTTTTTGGATTGTGGAAGACCTCACCTCAGCTCCATCTCTTAGTTCCCATTTCATCAGAACAAACGGAGGAGGCAGAGAAAGAGGATCTTAGGGTCCAGCTGAAGCGCCACCATCCTTCCAGTCCTCTTCCTGGCAGCAAGACCTCCAAGCGACCGAAGATTAAGGTGTCCCTTATCTCCCAAGGGGACACAGCTGGAGGGCCTTGTACTCCTTCCCAAGGAGGAGCTCCAGAAGGTGAGTGTCTCTTCGCCTGTCTAAATAAAAACTGAGCTCTCTCAGAACACACATCATTGCTGCCTTGGTGGCTACTTGCTGGACATCTCAGCCTGTATTTCAGTGTAAGATGTGCCTGGAGCAGAGAAGACACAAGGTAGCATGGGGGGCAAAAGTGGGCAGTGACCTGATCTGAACTAGAATAATCAGGAAGGCAGAATGAGGATCAGGGGGAGCATCCGGAGCATCATTATATTTTGTTCTCTGTCAGTTTCAATTAAAGATAAAATATTCTGGCACCTGGCTGGTTCAGAGGAGCATGCAACTCTTGATCTCAGGGTCCTGAGTTTGAGCCCCACATGGAAGGTATAGAGATCTTAAAATCTTAAAATCTTTAGGAAAAAAATATAATAAAATATTACAAAAAGTATAGAAATTGGAAGAAAAAATACCTCCAGCTTTCCCTATTCTACTGTTCTACTTATTCGTCATTTTTCTTCTTCCAGTCTTTGTTCATAGTATTTTGGATTTAGCCTGGGCTGTGAAACCCTGAAAGGGGCCAAGCAGGACTGACTGACCAGTGGCCTTGGGGTTTTCTGTTTTGCAGTTTCGGGAGGGAAGCCCATCACCATGACGTTGGGGCAGGCTTCAGCAGGGCCCAAGGAGCTCACAGGGCTTCTCACCACTACCAAGTGAGTCTGTTTCTTAGCTTTTCTGGCTCTGAACCTTTCTTTTTACCTTTTCTCTGGTCCATTTAGTGCTTTGGAAAGATGATAGTCTGGGTTCTGTCAGTTTTGGGAATATGACTTTTTTCTCAGTGGGATCTTTGCCCTTTTGGTGGGGGTGGGGGGTGGGGGGCAGTCCCGTGGGGCGGGGAGGGGATCAGTTCAATTCTTTTTTACTGAAAATTTGCAAAGCTTCCCATAGCTCTTGCTTTAAGGTTTGAAATCTTTATTTTAGGCCTGACTTTCAGAAGGATTAGAGACCAGATTCAGAAAGTGGAACAAAGAAAACTATAGGTTCTCGTGTCTAGAAAGCCTTGCTGGGCCCTACGACCCTCCCTGTGTTGCTGGGGTCTGCTGCCCTCCAACCTGTGAATAACGGAGCTCCTGTCTTTGTCTCCAGGTCAAATGCTTCTGAAGGGGGAGTCTCAGCCAGCCCAGCCTCCTCAGTCTCCAGCAGCACTGCACCCAGTGCCTTGCATACACTCCAGAGCCGCCTAGTGGCCACCTCTGCTGGCAGCTCCCTTCCAGGTATCTGGTAGCCCAGCATTTCCCGCCTCCCAGCAAAATCTCCTTTCAGCTGCTGCTGGAGGGTGGTCCTAGGGAAAGCAGCTGAATCTGGAGGATTCTCTTCTGGGTTGCAGGCTTTCATAGAGGCTTGATGTGAATTAGAATTAGCTTTAAAGTGGGAGAGTTCTTGGTCTTAATATCTACAGTGAGTAAAGAGCCCAGTTTGCAGGTAGTGTCTTTTGTACTATAAGGAGGAGAAATAGTTGGTGGGAAATGTATGTATTGTGTTCACTGTGGTGTTCTTAAACACATCTGATTGCAGAAAATTGGAGATTGTGCTGTACTAGCATTAGCAAGATGAGGCACCTTTCTGCCTCTTGCTGGTCTCCTCACTTTCACCACCCCACCCTACATGGGACGGCTGGTTGCCTGAGTCCAGCAGGGCCAAGGCTGTGCAGGTGTCCTCCTTCAGGAGGACCTCCCTCTTTGCTTTGTGGCCACTGGGCTGTGTGTAGTGAAGTGTAAATCAGGTATTTGGAATTCTTTTGGCTTAAGAAGCTGTCCCCTTCCCTGGAAGGGATGGAATTTAGATTTCTGAAGTGGGATTCCAACTCTCTGGTTTTCCTAAAATTGTCCAAGATGTTGGACAGGTAGTTTAGAGCAGGTTGGGATATGCAGAGCAAATCCAAGGGAGTATGTCTAGAATAGTAGCTTTCCTCATGTGGGCATGCAGTGTGCATGCCTGGGGAGTCCTTCCTGGCATCTTTCTGAGAGCCCTGGAAATGTCCCAGGGAAAGAGCATTGGTATTTTAGTTGGTTGTTGAAGATGGATGGGTGTGGCTGCTCTTGGGATAAGGGCTTGAGCCTATACTGACATCTGTTATATCCTCTCCTAGGGGCTACATCAGCCAGCAGCCTCCTTCAAGGTCTCAGCTTCAGCTTGCAGGATATCAGCAGCAAGACCTCTGGCCTCCCAGCAAATCCTTCCCCAGGGCCAGCCCCACAGGTGCACATCTGCCTTCTGCTGGGTTGGGCAGGTGTGGGGAGGAGGCATTCTCAGTTTAGTTGGTTTTGACAGGGAAACTGGGTCTGGAATCTGGGTCAAGACAGCCTTCTGACTTCACCCTGGGAACTACCAGAGGTTAAGGCTCCATCACTTACTGTGTGATCTTGGGCAAGTTTTTTGATCTCTCTGTGTCTTCGTTTCCTTGTCTGTAAAATTAGGATAATAGTATCTCTCTCAAAGGGTTGTTTTGAGGATTAAGTAAGCTAGTATATGGAAAATGCCTGGAAGAGTACCTTGCATGTAGTAGGTGCTCAATGGATGGTAGCCTTTAATGCTATGGGCCCTCCATACTCGAACATTGCTGTTGGGCAATAGCTTCTGATCACCTGGGCTTGTGTGTCCCACAGGCCACCAGTGTGAAGTTGCCCACCCCCATGCAGAGCCTGGGTGCCATCACCACGGGCACCAGCACCATTGTACGTACCATTCCTGTGGCCACCACACTCTCCTCCTTGGGTGCCACTCCTGGTGGGAAGCCCACAGCCATCCACCAGCTGCTGACCAATGGGGGCCTCGCTAAGTTGGCAAGCAGCCTCCCTGGCCTGGCTCAGATCTCTAACCAAGCATCAGGTGAGTCTCTCATGACAGCCGTGGGGACTCTTAGATATGGGATCTTTCCCCAGGATCTTCCCATCTCACATGGGCAAGCCATGTTGTTGAACCCAACTCACCAGGGTCCTGGCATTGACCCCCAAGGATTCAGCTGTGTGAGGCCAGCCCCCAGAGAGGTCGAAAGAACACAGCTGTTTCCTGTTGCCTTTCAGACTGACTGATAGAGCGTAGATGACCCAGCTGGGGAAACTGAGGTGGGAGGCCGAGGGGGTGGTGTGTGATGTGAAGAAACTCTCCAGGAGAAGAAAATGGAGGCTATGACCAAAGCCAACCTTCCCTCCCATCTCTGTCAGGCTTGAAGGTCCCTACCACCATTACTCTGACACTGCGTGGCCAGCCCAGCCGAATCACTACACTGAGCCCCATGGGCTCAGGAGCAGCCCCGTCAGAGGAGCCCAACTCCCAGGCGCTGCCCTCCAGCTCACAGGTGAGTCTGCCTGGAAAGACTGAGGACGCAGGCTCCGGTATTGGGAAGTTTGGAGCCGACTGACTGGCTTACCAGAGTAGCTGCCAGTGCACTGGACTTGTAGGCAGACCATGGTCAAATCCAGACCTAGGGGTTTCTAGCTTTGTAATATTGAGCAAGTTGTGGACTTCTTTGAGTCTCCTCTTCCATGGCACCCCCTGGATTATTTTGGGATTAAACATGGAACTATGTTCAGGTGTGTAGCAGTGCTCAGTAAGTAAGTTTTGTTTGCTTTCCCTCTCCATTCCTTTTCTCTTCCCATTCTTGGTTTCATCATTCACAGGTTGTGGTAGAGGCGAGTTAGTTGATTAACACCCTTTCTTTCACCAGTTTTCCAACATTGTGCTGTTCCAGCTCTTGGCATTCATTCCATCTTTTTAGGACACACTAGATTTCTATAGCTCTTACCCACAAGTCACCAGCAGTTCCTTGTAGCTGATTGGATTTCTATTGTAACCTTGTCACGTAAAATGTTTCTAATCTTAAGTCATGATCTGAGAGCTACCCAGAGATCAGAGGCAAAAGAAAAAAAATAGCTGGAGTCCAGTGTTGAGTGTGATTTCCTTCAAGTGTGCACTGACCCTTTCAGCTTTGGCCTTCCCTCGTGGGAGCGAGGGTGCTATGCAGGCTGCCATGACAGAAAGCCAGGCCCTGTTCCCGTCATTCCCACTACACCAGCCCTGCCCAGGAAGTGGGGGGCGGGCCCCTATTGGCACTTGACAGCTTCCAGCTGTTCCAGATGATCTTCTGCCTCCTTTTTAGAGGAAAATACTGCACAGAGATTGTTACCTGGCATTCATTGGGATCATAGTTACTGCCGCCCCCCCCCCCCCCCCCCCCCGCCTTTTTGGCAGAAAAGTGGAGGTGTTTTTATTTCTTTTTTTTAAATTCCTTATTTTTTCAATTACAGAAATGTGTTTATTTTAAATAATTCAAACATTACAGAAATAATTACAGAAGTAATTTAGAAAGTGAAAATTTCCCATGATACCACTCTCAGAGATGATAACCCACTAACAGCTTGGTATGCATTCTCCTAGATTTTTCTTGCTATACAAAGTATATTATCTTATTTTACTTTTTTGACAAAAATGGGATCACAGAATATGGACTATTTTGTAACTGGCCTTTGTTTACAACACATGTTGTGACATGCTTCCCTGTGGGTTACATAGAGACTTATCTACTTCTTGTCAGTTGCTACCTCATGTTTCACTAGGTGGATGTACGAAAGTGTATTTCACCACCTCCTGTTAGAGAGTTGGGCTGTTTTGTTTTTGATACAGAAAATAATGGTTCAGTGAACACGCTCGCTCCTGAGTTTTGTGTGCCTCTGGGAGCTTTCTACAGTCTAGAGATCAATAGTGGAGAATCGTGCATCTGACACCTGGCTAGCTGCTGGCTAATTGTCTTTCAGAGGTTCTGCTGGTTACAGTTCAAACCACAACGATGAGAATACCTATTTTCCTATGCCTTTATCAGTTATGGAAATCAGTATTTTCAATTTAATTTATTAATTTGATGAGTGAAGTGAAATGGTTTTTTTTTAAATTTTTTTCTTTTTCTTTTAGTATTATTTTTTAAAAATTTACATGCAAGTTAGTTAGCATATAGTGCAACAACGATTTCAGGAGCAGATTTCTTAATGCCCCTTACTCATTTAGCCCAACCCCCCTCCCACAACCCCTCCAATAACCCTCTATTTGTTCTCCATATTTAAGAGTCTCTTATGTTTCGTCCCCCTCCCTGTTTTTATATTTTTTGCTTCCCTTCCCTTGTGTTCATCTGTTCTGTGTCTTAAAGTTCTCATATGAGTGAAGTCGTATGATACTTGTCTTTCTCTAATTTCCCTTAGCATGATACCCTCTAGTGCCATCCACATAGTTGCAAATGGCAAGATTTCATTATTTTTGATTGCTGAGTAATACTCTATTGCATATGTGTATGTGTGTATATACATGTATATATATGTATGTGTATATATGTATACATATATACGTATATGTATATACACGTATGTATATGTGTATATATATACATGTATATATGTGTGTACATATATGTATATACACGCACACACATACACACACACCACATCTTTATCCATTCATCTATTGATGGACATTTGGGCTCTTCCCATACTTTGGCTTTGTTGATAGTGCTGCTATAAACATTGGGGTGTCTACGTCCCTTCGAAATAGCATACCTGTATCCCTTGGATAAATACCTAGTAGTGCAGTTGCTGGGTGGTAGGGTAGTTCTATTTTTAATTTTTTGAGGAACCTGCATACTGTTTTCCAGAGTGGCTGCACCAGTTTGCATTCCCACCAGCAGTGCAAAAGGGTTCCTCTTTCTCTGCATCCTTGCCAATATCTGTTGTTGCCTGAGTTGTTAATGTTAGCCATTCTGACAGGTGTGAGGTGGTATCTCATTGTGGTTTTGATTTGTATTTCCCTGATGATGAGTGATGTTGAGTATTTTTTCATGTGTCGGTTGGCCATCTGGATGTCTTCTTTGGAGAGGTGTCTTTTCATCTCTTTTGCCCATTTTTGCACTGGATTATTTGTTTTTG